ATAATCTATAAACTATGTAAAAATATTAGAAAAAATATAAAATATAATATAGAACTAAAAATAAATATATACTAATATAGAAAAAAAAAGTAAATTCTATTACAGTACTATAGTCTACTCTGTATATTGGGTCTGACTGTTATTATTCTAGTCTTTTATATAAGTAGATTTGTTCATCTGCCTATTTATTTTATTTTTCTTATTAACTACAATAGGTATATCTTTTAATAAGGTGGTAACTGCTTCAATGTTGATTATAAAAGACAGAGAACTTAAAAAAAAGATTATAAAAAAGTAAATATAGAATAAAAACTAGTTGGAAATCAAGATTGAATTTTTTTGATAAAAATTTTTTAGCTACTGAGTAGACAGTATTATTAAAATATTTAATAATCTGTAAATAAGTTGGTTTTTAGTTTTTTATAATATCAAAATATATAATAATTTGAACTAGAAATTTGGTATCAATAATGTTTTTTGTTAGTAAATTGATAATTTTCTCATTGAACAGAGACTGTATATTATGATTTTTAGTAGCAGTTTGGTAATAAAGAGAAAAATAGTAATAGAAATAATAGTTACAATATTTAGAATTAGTTTTAATTTTATTTTATTTATAAACAAAGTTTTCAGTTTAGTTAGTTAACTTATTAAAGACTTTAGTAGAAATAAGTTGGTCAAATGAAGCAGCATATTCTTTATTTTTATAAAATAATGTAATATTAAGAGTTGGATAAATCTAAGTTTTATCATCCTGACTAAGGAGATTTGGTTAGGGTATTATTAAATAGTTTGATAGTGTTATAGAATTTTTTGATATCAAGGTATTAACAATCTTTATTGTTACAAGTAAGGTAATAAAAGTTAGTAACACAAGATACTTCTTTATATCATTCTTGGAATAAATTAGATTTTTAAAATATATAGTTTCTAAAAGATATTTGAAAAATTGAAGAATAAAGTGTTAATAAAATTAGATTCTTAAAGAAATACAAACTTTTTTTTTATCAATATTTGAAGAAAATTATTTATAATAAGGAGGATAGTAGATTTCAAACCAGAAATTAAAGTGATTAAGAGAGTTTTTGAATAAAGAAATATAAAATCTTTCAAGAAAGAGAATTTTGAGAATATTAAAGAAAAGTTTGATATTAAATCTGATATTTGACTAAATAGTAAGATATTTTTGTTTAAGATCTGTAGTTTAAATAAAAGATTTAATTTTAAATCTTTTGGGTTTAAGTTGTAGATCTTTAACAAATTTTTGATAGTCAATAGATTAGTAGTTGTTGGATAAAAAGAGATGAAGACATGTAAGATTAAGACAGAATTGAAAATGATTATAACCTGTATATGGTAGAATAGTAATTAATAAAGTAAAGATTTTGAAATAATTAAGTTTAGTAAAAAAAATAATAGTAAATTTGTAGATAAGATTTTTTAAAATAGATTCAAGAAGATTAAAAGAAATAGTAATACTTTTTGTTAATATTAGAGTTATTGTTATAAATAAAATTAGTTAGAAATTCAGATTATTGTCTAACTATAATATGAATAATATAGTAAAATAAAACTTTGAGTACAAGTTGAATAGTAGTAACTGGTTTAATTTTTTTACCAAAATAGAAATTATAGAGAAATTTTTTTAGAAAAATAAAAAGTTAAAAAGAAAATAGAGTTTGCAATTTTTTGTTAGATTGCATTTCTTCAATAATAAGAAAATTTGCAACCCAGTTATATATAAGATTAAATTTTGGTTTAAGAACACTAGAATAAGATTGATTTGCTAAATTTCCTGTTGATTATAATCTGCAATTAAAAATTATACATTTAAATAATTTATTTTAATATCTACTACCTGGTTATTATATATATCAAATGCCAGATTTTATTGTTAATTTAACGAATAATCTCACAGATATTTTAGAAAATATTTACTTATTTTTTGATGATGAATTCTTATAAAATATTGAATTTATGAATGATTTGGAAATCAAAAAATTAGTTTATAACTAAAAAAAATAAAATACAAAAAAGACTTCAATTGTATCAAAAATGATTAAATTGTTGGCTACATCTTTTTTTAAGTATATGTCATCTTGATAATAATAATACTCAACAATTTGTATGCAATTATTGGCATGTAATATTTAAAAAACCCTGACCAAATCTTCCTAGTTTAAAAGAACTTTCTTATACAAAAATTCTTAAATAAGATATTTTAAAAAGAAGATTTGAAGACTTTAGTTTAAGAACTGCATTAAACAATAAATTATTTTTTCAAGAATTCAGTATGTTTGTTAAAGAATCAGATAGTTTACTTTATTAATATCTGCAATTATATGATTTTGTTAAAAACAAAATCTGGTATATTATAGTCTATTAACAACAAATCAAAAAATTATTTAATAAGTAGAATATAAAAACTTAACCAAATATGACAAATAAAACTCAACAATTCAAAATGCATCTTTCAACAACTCAAATTAAAGAATTTGAATTTATTAGTAAACAACTAAAAAATATTTAACATGAAAATAAACTAATTTCCCAACAAGATTCCATTACACTGACTCTTCAATCAAATGAACAATAAAAACAAAATGCAAATCTTCTTTTTCAAAAATTGTTTATAAATTGTTAAGGCTTATTATAATTATACTGCAACATTGAATTTTATTAATTCTTTTTAATGTTCAAGTTATCAATATATAAAATAAATGTAGATACTTAGAATTTGATATTTTTACACTCAAGAATAAATGCCATTTTGTTCTTTTAGTATGCGACATAATTTTTTTCTTTATTAACTTGATAGCAATGCAATGTTTAACCAAGCCAAGAACATTCATATTGATGCTAATCAAAAAGCCTAGGCATTTGAAGTTTGATAAGAATTTCAAAATGTTGGCATTACAATAAATACAATAAATACATATGGCTCTTTATGTTATCCGATTTTTTCGTTACACATAGATCTTAAATTCTGTTGGCTAAGAGATGCTTCACGTTACCTCAAGAGGTGTAACAGGATCAACCAATCAAATAATACGTAAAAATCTGCACTATTAATTTTTGCTATAATACCTTACGTAGGTTTGATTAATTAGTATATGGAATACCCCAATGCAACACGTATATTGAAATAAAGCTCGTGCCCCCAAAAAATTTTGATCACTAAATTTTTAAATCTTTTTTATTAATGATAATATTGCTATTTGCGAATAAAATAAAAAAAAAAAAATTTAACAAATACGCTCGGAATTGCGTGAGATAATACGATCCAACTAAATTTTTTTTTTGTTGCATTATTTATGATCGCCAGTGTACAGTCAACTTTTAAAGCCATATACTCATGTATAAAATTAACTCTCGCTATAGTCACACGATGTGACTATAGGAGTTGATTGTATTTTCAAATAGAAATCCCATAGTCGCGACATTAGTATACTTATGTCACGTATTGGAAATGACCAAACAAATTACAGGGAATGCTAGGTGCTTACATCATTTTTCATTTGTTGATCAGTTATCGTGACCAATACAGAAATAATAAGGGTAGTTACAAATATTACGTAATGATTTTTTTTACTATAAAAGAAATTTGATTGGCTAATTTATAAATTTATTAACATATGATCCAAGGTATCGGTATTATGTAATATTTGTCGCTTCCCTAAGTAGATATCCGTCAGTACGACTTACATATAAGCTAGACTGGTTTATAATTGTCGTTCCTAACTAGTTCAGGACTGGACTGAGACCCGGACCGAATGCTGCCAAATTTTTTGACCCAGTGACCTCATCTCCGAAATTCATTTACCCCAAAAAAATTTTTTAAAAATTAGCGGTAGATCTAATCTGCTTTTAGCATCATCAACCATATTATTAATATTTTCACAGTTACGTTTTCTGGAAATTTTTTTGCTGCACAAACGAAAAGATAAAGATATGTGAACTACGTAATTCAAATATGTATATATGCCTACTCAAGTTGGCATAGTCGTCAATACTATTATGTAACACAGTCATTTGGATTTAAAAGATAATGCGAAAATTGGGTTGGCTCCAATAAAAAGAGTACGTAGAAATTCTTCTTTTCATGTGAAGACATTATTGGATGACCAAGTGTTCTATATCCGTACTTTGTACTTCTTTTATCTTCCATATGAACTGATCTTCTTTAATCAAACGGTTGAATGGTTTTACCGGTCTTGAACGCGAATTAGTTGTATAAATAAACCAGACATTTCAAAAGTTCTCTTTCAATGTAATAAACATGGTCGACAGTATTAATTTCATTTTACCAAAGATTCCTACTTTAATTTCTACAATAATTAGTCATTATAAAGATGGCCCCCCTCAACCATCATGGGACTTAAAACTCCACATGGCTTTTATGGCTACTAAGCTTTCAATTGAATATCTGTTTAATACAGCAGTTGAAAAATCCCAAGCGCTTTGCAATAAACTTAATGACATTCCACATGGTTTCGCAGTGGATCAATTTCGAATTTCTAACAAGTACAGGAAGGATGCACAACAATATATTGAAAAATTAATGGAGGAATATGAACACGTGATTGATGATGAATGGAACAAATTCGATCAACTAGAGGAATTAAGTGCAGAATGGATTTACGTGAAAGAAAATGGTTTTATGCAAAAGGAAAATAAAAGTGTAATTTTATATATACATGGTGGTGCTTATATTGTTGGTAGTACAGGGGCTTATCGTGGCATCACTTCGGACCTTGCAAAAGCTGCCGATGCCCATGTCCTTGGTGAGTAGAATGAAAGTTTGTTATTTAATACAACGATCAGAATATAACACTCAATTATTACATAATCGAAGCTATTAACTACCGATTGGCTCCTCAACATCAATTTCCCGCGGCCCTGCATGATGTATTAGCTGCTTATTTATACCTTACTGGTCCACCAAAAGATGCTGGCTTCGGCGCTATTAATCCTAAACAGATCGTAATAATGGGTGATAGTGCCGGGGGAGGTCTTACCATTGCTACATTACTGGCACTACGTGATGCTGGTTTGCCGATGGTTGCTGGCGCTGCTGCTTGGGTTAGCATTCATCTACATATAAATATATATTTTATATGCTAGCATTCAGATAAACACATTAATCATAAAATTTTTTATGCATCTCCTAGTCGCCATGGGTTGATCTTACACATAGTATGCCATCCATCTTAAGCAGAGAATTCGACAAATCTGATTATATTCCACCTTATCCTTTACAATTGCCACCTTCTCAAGCTCAGGTGCAATTCCTCGAAAAATCCGATGCACTCACTAAAAAAATAAAACAATCTAACAAGCCAAAAATATGGCATAATTCTTTTGAACGAGGAGCCCGGTTCCAAAATTACGCCGCTAATGAGGCTGTATCAATTCCTTATGTAAGGTAAGAGTGATTGTAACATCAGTTATAAATGAATACAGATTTCTTTATCTTAACCATTCATTTGTAAAGTCCCTTGTGTGCAGAAAGTTTAGGTGGATTGCCACCCATGTTGTTGGTATGTATTCTTATTACCATTTGAACATCAATCTAGTCGATCGCATAATTTATACATGATACTATAGACTGCGGGTGATGGAGAAAGGTTACGTGATGAGATTATTTATCTTGCATTTAAAGCTAGTCAGCCTTCAAAGTATTTATTGCCAATATATAATGCTGGCAAATTTGAGATATCCCCATTTAAAACACCTACAAATGTCATTCTTGAAATTTATGAAGAAATGCCTCATATGTTCCAGGTATATTTATATTATTCTTTTACATCTACTAGAGTACATAATCGTTTCAAAAAAAAAGCGAAATTTTTACAATTAAATTTTATAAATAAATGTACAGTTGTACAGATTCAACGAAGTAGCTAGATTTTCCTTTCAACGTACGGCTGAATTTATTCGCGAAGCTTGTTCATCAGCTTCAGGAGAATTCACATTAAACCAGATAACAAACTCATCAAATTACATTAGAATAAGTACAAATAAGCAAGTTTTGCCATTAAAAGAATCTCACTACGCGGTACTTGATTGGCTAAATGTCGGTTGTGCGCCAACTATTGGTATGAATTCATCTAAACAATTTAAAAAGGAAGCTAAAACAAGGTAAATAAAAGATACTGACTTTACTGTGGTTTTGATATATGGATATATGACTAACTTTATATTGAAAAATAGTTTACTGGAGTATTTTGTATATTTTGTAACTGTATTTGCTATAATTGCATATTTATTTTAAAAAGTTAGGTTTTTAACAAAGGAAAATTTAATTTGTTTCTTTATAAACTTGGGTAATTTTTAATAGTTTGGTTTACCAAAATAAGTGATAAAAAAAACAGTATTTTAGAGCAGTGTTGGCAGGGACACTTGTGGACATTTGTGGACAAATAAATAAATTAAAATTACGCAAAATTTTATTAAGTTAATCTATTTTAACTTTTTAAATAAAAATATCCAGCACTATAAAAAATATATATTTTTTAAATTAATACAGTATATTAATCGTTGGAGCTTGTATATGCTGTGAACATTCTTGGACATGTGGACGTTTGGACATTGGATATGGTCTAAAAAAGTCTTGGGTGATCTACATTGTGACTTAGTCAATTTAATAAAAAAATTTTCACTTATTTATATACGTTAAAGTACTTTTTATTCTCATGATTTTTCAATTAAATACACTGTAAGGATAGAGTACAATATTGATTATTTCTATATATAATTAATTGCAATTTTTTGTAATTTTTTTTATATTTAATTTTTTGAAAAAATATATTAAGTAAATAATTTTTAATCTATATATAAAAGTTGTAGAGTAGGTCTTTCTAATTCTTTTTTTTTTTTTTTTTTTATTAAATAATGCTCAAGTATAAACTTTATTATATATAGAAACATAAGTTCTAAATTTAAAGATTTATAAACTACATTTGTGTTACAATTAGGCACCCAATGTGACATTACACTCCCTATTTCCTATGTTATGCTATAGCTAACTATTTCAAATTAGGTTCTAGCTAGGATAGGTTGGAGGAAACCTTTGAGT